GAAAATCAGAGATTCTTTGAAATAATTTTTGAATAATTTTTTTTTTATTTTTTTGGCAAAATTCACTATTCACGTGAAATATATAATTCACGTGAACAGTGAAATAGCATTTCACTGTTCAAATGAATTATGTTTCACTTGAACAGTAAAATGCGAGGAAATGATGTAGGCACAGCGACGTTTTTACAGAATCACGTTATTATCTAAAACATGTCTCTCATATTTCAATGTTGCTGATGTGCAGTGGCTATATATCCCCTGAATATGCAATGGAAGGTAGATTTTCTGAGAAATCAGATGTCTACAGCTTTGGAGTTTTGTTGTTAGAGATTGTAAGCGGGAGAAGAAATACTAGTTTCTATGGGAATGAGCAAGCTTTGAGTCTTTTAGGATTTGTATGTCCATAAAACTCAACGCGGCAGTCATATGTAATGCTTGGATTTCATTTCTGACAACATTTAAATTGCTATTTTCTTATTTGTGCTACTACTTTCACTTCGCAGGCATGGAAACTGTGGAATGAAGGCAACATTTCAGCTCTAGTAGATCCAGCAATATCTGATCCGAGTTCGCAGGTGGAAATATTTAGATGCATACATGTAGGCCTATTGTGTGTTCAAGAATTCCCAGAAGATAGGCCAACAGCTTCTACTGTCGTTTCAATGCTGAATAGTGAAATTTCTTATCTTGCAACTCCAAAGCAGCCGCCATTTGCTGAAAGGAAACACCACTTCAATGAAGAAAGACCCCATCAAAACGAAGAAAAGTGTTCCATCAATTACGTGACAGTCACAGTTGTTGATGGCAGATAATGAGTTCCCGTCACGATTATTTTTCTTGTAACATGTACTGGTAGACAATGGATTTTCAAAGCTAAAATGTGCAAATGCTAAATATTTTTTATACTTCCATTCTATTAAACCTAGTATGGCCTTACAAGTTGATCTGATAAGCTACTGATTCAAAGCTCGGTCTGGATTAGGTTTTATTTTGAAGGTATAAACCCAGCTCTATTTTTATTTTTTTTAAATTAGTTTTTATTGTATTTTAAAAACAAAAGCAATTTCATTTTGAATTAACTTCAATTAAACTAGCAAACCTGGAAGTTGAGCCTTGGAGGACCCTGTAATCTGCTCAACATTTTTAAGTTGTTCAGCTGGATAGTGAGAGGTAGACCATGTTAAAATGCTAAAATTTAATTTAGCAGGATTTTGGTTTCCGTAATTTAAGATTTTCCAACATCAGTCCTATAGTTTGCAAGAATTCCAATATAACCTCATGTCGATAATTGTTGATGAAATTAAGCTAACAATAAGCACATTTGCACATCACCTTTTGCAGTTCTTTTGTTTCTAAGATCCTTTTTTGGGATATTATTGCATGAAGAAGAGTTGGGAAGAAAAGGACAAGAGAAAAAACATGAAAAGTGAGACAAAAGGATGGAAAAATGGGCACTTCATTTGATCCCGTTAGCTATTTACGGGTCAGAGATCGAATTGGAAGTCTTTTGAAACAACATGTTAATATTAGAAAACTTTTAAACCATAGGGACCAAATTGAAACATTAAGGGATCTAAAATACAGTTGATCTTTTATTTTCACGGAGGAAACATTCTGACTGGGTTAGTAACACTCGTTGTTCAACTCAAGGTTAAGGGTCATGCTGATGAGTTTCTGAAGATTCATTACATACATTACCATTTGAGTAAATTAATTATAAATTAGTCCCTCTAGTCTTAGTTACTGTTTGAGATTGCTACACAAAGTATTTTTTTTGTTTAAAAACTTATTAATATTTTTATTTTGATATAAAAACATTAAAATAATAAAATAAAACACTAAAAAATATTAATTTAAAGTTAAAAAATAATAAATTTAAAAAAAATAGTCCAACGGCACTCCGAAGCTATACTTTACAAAATTAACTAAGTAGTTCTTTCAATTTTAAAAGTTAATCAATTAGTTTCTTAACTAGTGTTGATTATGTTTAATTTAATATTACTTTATTCCAAAAAAATATTTTATTTTCTCATCAATCTTATCATATTATTTACCTATTTGTTGGTTTTTTTTCAACTTCTTAAAACAAAAAACTAATATGAAATTGAAAAATAACATGAAATAGATGAAAGGGTATAATTAATCAGTACTATTTGAAACTGAAAAACATATCAATTTATAATTTATTCTAATTGGAATACCAAATAACATGGGAGGAAAAAGTAATACATAGATACACATCTCCACTACACTTGTAACATGGTTAGATGAAGAAAAGTAAAGTAAAAAATAACCATGAACACAATGACTAGGACGTGAACAAAATAATAGCAAAAATGTTAGGCAGATGGTGGCTTTATATATATATATAGCACTCTTGTACTGTGTGCTAATTTTGTCATGTCTCAACGCTCCATTACTGGTATGAAAAGGGAATTGTGAAGGATATCTAGCTAGGGTTACTAATGGCCTGAAAATTAATATATATGTTATTGATACCTTCAGGAAATAATAATGGCACAGTGCTATAAAATGGTGAATAATTGAAATATCTTTTTCGTAAAAGGGCTGATTCTACTTTATCGAAATTTTCCAGGTCAGGGAAAATGAGTTAAAAGTGGTCAAATCTTGATTAAATAAAGCATCAAACACCAAATTCTCAGAGGAATAGTATAGAAATCGATGATGTTTTAAGCACTTACATAAGCCCATTACATTTACAAGCACAAAATAACCAAACAAAATCTCATATAATTCCTTACAAAATCCCTAAACCAGCTAAAACAAAACAAATGCCCCAATTGTTTATCAATCTAATTTAAAAATCACAAAAACAAAAATAAAAATAAAAACAAAAGCATTTAGGATTTAGGATTTTGTTGTTATTGTTATTGAACAAGTGATACCCAAGAGAAACTAGAGATACTGGGATCATCTACTGTGTTTGGATACTGTACTTGTATGTGGTCCTTATAGAGGAGATCAAAAAAGGAAAAACAAACATATAATTCAGTTATCTATCATTAATCTTATTAACTAAATCCCTTTACTACATATTTAGTTACAATTAAGACCCTCCATCCATAACAATGCTAGAGTTGCTTTTTTGTCACGTGCATGACTTAGTCCTCAATTTGTATAACAAAACAAAATGTTTTAGTAAATTACTAGAACTGGCCACGTAATTTGCTATGGAGTTGGATTATTTTTTTGTAAAACAATTATGTCTAAGTATTGCAAGATGTTTTTCTTATAAAAAAATCCATGAATTGAATTATTGGTCCAACTCTGTTAAATAACTTAGTTTTAGTTTAACTAAAAGATAAAAAATAAACAATGATAATAAATGAACCAAATTAAAAAAAATGAAGAAGCAATCACTATAACTTGAAAAAAATATTTTTTTTCAAATTGAAAAAAAAAATTATAGCTCAATTATTAGTCAATTTAATATGAAATGAACAAAAAACCCAAGTCTACCCAAGCGTAAGATTTAAATTTTTTGACCAAGTCTAAGTTAGCCAAGAACCTAGCCTAACCTATATATATATATACACGAGAGAGAGAGAGAGAGGGAGACTAAATGTTGTTTCTTTTTTTCTTTTTTTTTCTCTTTTCTTTTTCTTTCCCCTTTTTCTTCTCTTATCATGACTTTTCTCTCAAAATACCAAGAGATTTAGCTTTCTTTAGACTTAAGCTTTTGAATTTTAAAAAGGATTGAAAAAGCAAGTATTATGACTACCATGTTTGTTAAGTATTATGATTTTGTTTTCGACTGGGAATTTGATAGTTGATGAATTAAGAAAGTGTTTTACCGTTTTAAGATGTTTAATATATATTAATTTGATATATAGACGATTTAAAGGATTTATTTTGTGTATTAAAGTGTTAATTGGACTGGACCAAACTAGGTTAATGTCCAGATTATGGGTTTGTTGAGGAATAAAATATTTATTACTTTTGAGTTTTGTAGATTCTTGACTGGTAGGTCAGGATTTTGAAAATCTCGACCACCCAATTGACTGGTTGGGCTAAATCGGTCAACTAGTTCATATGTTATAGTCTTCTGACTGGTTGATTTGTATAATGGTCACCCAGTTGGTTAATCTAGTCCAATGATTGACCTTATAATGACGGTTAATCGAGTTTGTTAAGTTCAATCAATTTTGAATATATTAAAAATCGATCAAGTGAATCAATTCAACTTTATTATTATGATTTGGTCTCTAACTTTAGGGTTTTAGTCTTTCATGTTATGTTATTATGAGTTATTTTTTGTTGTTTTTCATATCCGTTATAGGTTTTGTTAATGTTCCTCCTAGCGAGCTTTAGTAATCTTTGGTTTTGCATTTGTTTATTTGCTCTGTTTTCAGTTGAATGGGATAATTTCTATTATATATATAGATATGAAATTATAAATATTATTGCTATTGTTGATTATATAAGGCTGATCAGTTGTTGTTTTTATTATATTTTCTTCTTAAATACTCATCATATACTTGTTTGATTTAAACATGATTCGTATGTCCTTTATATTTATTCAATTGCGACCATGCTTGCATTATGAATCTTGATAATAAACATGAACTCTATATTAATTTTGTTTGTTGAGCTCATGATTCTTCTTACCACATTTAAGCGGCTATAAGAAACTCTAGACTAAAGAAGGGTAGTTATTTACTTCATACTAATGAAAAGTAGTTAATTTATGTACATATTATATTTTATTTTCTAATTGGTGAGTAGGGTATTAGTACTATTTGCACATATATATTCCCTAATTGAAGAATATGATATTACTAATATGACATGTAATTCTAACATGTATACTTCTTTTACATACCATTTAATATAATACCTTTAATATAAATATCTTGTTCGGTACTTGATTTATGCAATCATATTCACTTATCTTAAAATGTATATTAGCTTGTATCATAGTTATCACCTTTCACTAAATGTTTGGACTCACCCTTTCATTTACATTTTTCAGGTCTTTAGTTTAATTTCAGTACCAAGATCTTCTAATTGTGTTCTTTTTATTTTTTGAGTCGGTATGCCTCGTTTGTTCCTTAAGGCCATTAGTTTAAATTTTATTAGTTATTCATAGATACCCCACAAAATGATTTTAATTATATTTTCAATTCGTTTTGGATTATTTATCAAAGAGATGGATTTTAATTTATTTATTGAATTTCTTTATTTTGGATATTTTATTTTATGCTGCGCTATTTTATAATTTTTATGATATCAAATATGTAAGTTATGAGGCTTAGAGTAGGTGAAGCACCTTGAGGTACTGCATTTGCATTATTGGTCGGTCATGGGATGGGGAATTCTTTCGTGACATAATTAATTGAACTTTTTTTCATGTTCTATTTTTCTCAAGATTTAAAATATTTTTAGCAAGAGTATTTTAAAATTTGTTTTAACATAACTCTTATTTCCCATTATAAAACTTAGAATTTACTACGGATTTGGCTGTGTCCAAAATAGTGTTATTTCCTTAAAGAAAATCAAAGCAATCAAGCATTGAATTAACTTGGATTAAACTAGTAAACCTAGCCTTTTGTAAGGTAAAACCCCAACCAATTTTGATAATTATGATACAAAGGCCAAAACTAAAATTCATCATGTTTATTGAGGACTAATATGGTATAGTCAAGGTATTTGAAGTGTCCATGTAGACAATCTTCTTGTCAATGTTGTACAACATGTGCAAATGTTTGATTTTGGTGATAGCTTACTAACCGTAACGCATAGAAATTCATGTATTAGAGGCTAAATTTACTCTCACTATTACATTCATGTCTTTTTATGGGTTGCATACTACTGCACTAGGAAAAGATATCATAATGATTCTAACAACAAAGTGAAAAAGGAATTTTCGACCATCGAAAGACATTGTATTTATTGTTAGATAGCAATAAGCATCTCATACGTACATGCTGGCACATGTATTGATATTCAATTCAATTTTCTATTCAATAAATATTTTACATTATTTATTTAACATCCACTATATATTTTGTTTCTTAATCATTCTTAATTTTAGAAAAATCAAATTTCATTTAATTTCTAATCATTTTTTTCTCTTACAAATTGGACACCAAGCCAGTAGTCAATATGAACACATGTCATGCATAAACGTGAAAACAAATTAGTGCTAATAAATCAATGATGGAGAGTCTTTATTATATCTTTGCCCATCCAAGCGTTGAAACTCCATTTCAACCGTATAAAAAATATCAATGCTAAACTAATGATGCTTCTAAGTGATAAAACGCGGTTGAATCAGTCAAATCGAATTAGTAGTGGAGTGACCAAGTGTGTGATTAGCCTCGTTCTTTTCACATTAGTCCTCTCTTTTCTATAAAAATATTCAAATTGTACTTGTGATAGTCGTGCCCTTAAACTGTTTATCACATTTATATTTTCAAAAAATTTCCTCTGAACTTGCAAGTTTTTATAGGCTTTTGAGTATTCAATTCAAAATTTCTCGCCTCTTTGGATGTTTTTTCATCAAGCTTTATAGTATACTAGTGATAGGAGCCACTAGCCCTCCTTCATGCATGCATCACATTAGTGTTTATCAAGATTTTCTCACTTTTGAAATTCTAAATATGGTTTTGAGTGTCTTAATTTCTAAATTTCCAACTGATTTGACACAAAAAATGTAGCTTGAAATTTGTGCAAGGGATGTGCACTATGATGTGTTGAAAGTAAATAGGTAGGAAAAGACTATAAAGTCCTTAAAAACTTAGATGTAAAAATAAATAAATGAAGTAATTGAACAAAAAGTTCATAAATATAAATATTAAAGAAAAAGAGGGAGAGATAAGCAATTAAGAGTGAAAAACTAAGAGAAGAGAAGAAAAGAGAAAGAAGAAGAAGAGAAAAGAGGGAAAGATAAAAGAAAGAGAAGAGAGTTTGAGAAAATAAGTTTAAAGGTAAGATTTAAGTTTTAAAATGTATAAATGTATGTTTTTTGAGCCTTAAACTTCTGTTTTGATAAATGTTAGGTTTTGAAGATTGTATTTTGGGTTGATTGATGAATTAATTTGAATGTTATAGAATTGATTATTATGGGTAATTGATTATTTAACTAATTATAGAAGATTGTAGGTAAATATGATGATTTTGAGTTATGATTTGTGTAAATGATGAATTTTAAGTTAGAAATCTGAAAAGAACACTAGGTTTTCTGTTGAAATTCTGGATTTGAGGTTGAAGATGATAAAATTTCAGTTTGATCCCTCAATTTGTGAAAATTACAGTTTAGTACCTAAACTTCAAAAAAATTACATATTGGTCCCTGGAGCATATTCCAAGATTCTGGACAGAATAAATATGAGTTATGGGCAAAATTCCATCATAGTTATGAAATTTTAACACTTTCAATTTGGTCCTCCAATTTGACAAGAATTACAATTTGACCCTAAAAATTTAGAAAAATTCCAGAATGGTCCCTAGAGAATAATTAGAGATTCTAGACAGAAATGAGGATTAATTATGGACATAATTCCACTATATTCATGAATTTATAATATTTTTAGTTTGGTCCTCCAATTAGAAAAAAATTATAATTTGGCCCTAAAAATATGATAAATTTCAAAATGGTCCCTAGCTGTAATATTAGATTTTTTAGATTGGTTTGATAAATAATTTATGATTATTTAGTAAATTATTACCAATTTTATTATTTGTTTTATTATGAATTAGATTTCAAAAAAACCATTTAATTTTGGGTTTTTGAAAGAATAACTAGTTTAGTCTAAAAACATGTAGGGTTATGGAATATACCCTTAGATAAGTATATTAAATAGGTTATATGTTCTTTTGAGTTATTCTTGAATATATCTTATTTGTATTCAAATAATTTTGATATTCTACCGGCGGGATATCAGTAGAATTTCTTTCAGTATCTATTTTTGAATGCTATTGCTTTTGAGTTAAATGAGTGGATAATTTTTCATATGCATGAGAAATATTATAGATATTTGATTTGTTAATATGAATTTGATCATGTTTCTTGATAATATATATGTTGATTATTATCTTTATTATGATAAAGTATGATCAATTGTTGAATTTGAATTCTTGATATGAACCAATATATATTTTAAATTGGCTTCTGAATTGATAGTTTCTTATTTGATTAATGTCATGAGTTGAATTTTAAGATATGAATATATCTATTTGATTATGATTATAAACTTATGATATACCAGTCAGAATATCATGCTAACAAGGTAGTGTTAGTCTTTGTGCATATTATATCTGAACCCTAATTGGTTGGGGGAGTCACTAACCTGTGTAGACTAATCATCCAACAGTACAGAGTCTCATGCTTATTGCATTTTGATTTTCTAATGAGCTTTACTTTATCCGGTGTAGACTGATCATCCGACAGTACAGAGCCCATGCTTATTACATTTTGATTTTCTAACGAGCTTTATCTTATGATATTCTTGTTATGACATATTTGATAACCCTTCCTATAAAAACCTAAAGTCATATATATATATATATATATATATATATATATATATATATTTCATTATTGTATTACCTCGTGTGTGTATATTGAAAATTATCTACTCAATGAGTTGTTGAACTCACCCTTTTAGTATTTGCCCTTTTCAGGCTTATAGCTTAATAGCATGTCATTTTTATTGGACCTTCAGAACCTGCTTTTTTGGTTGTAATTTGTATAGTTTCCTTTATGTCTAGTTAGTGCTCCAAAACTATGAAATTATATTAACTCTTGTATTAAAATAATTAAAGTATATTATAAAGTTAGTTTGTTATTAATATTGGATTGAACTCTAATTGAGCTGTTTAAAGGATAAGATTATATATAGATTTAGATTTATATAAATATGGAACCTTGAAGAGGAACTTTGAGTATGTGCCGGTTATGGATTCGAAAATTAATTCGTGACATATATCCATTAAAAAAATAATGCCAAAATCATCTTTCAAAATTAAAATGATATTTGGGACATTCCATATAGGTAGCTATGCCAAAATAATCATATTTTGGACTTGAAATGGATGTCATCATCAAGTCATGGAGAGGATACAGAGAAGATAAGACTGGTGAGTGTTCATTCTCCATGTTAATAGAAACTATGCTCTGTTCTGGTTATACAATGTTGAATATATGAACAACAATTTAATAGATAATTTTAATTTTTATGGTCTGTTGGTTTTTGTTTCACATCCATTCATATTATTACCAATAGGTTAAAGGTTTGATAGTGATGACTTGAAAAGAGAATTTTTATTATTTTAACTAATTTTATAGATTTTAAAGTTAACGACTATATAAACCTTTAGTTATTCAAATGTTTGTGATACTCGAATTAGTAATTTTTATAGAGCAAATCTAAAATTTAATAAGATAAATAAACCTAAAATTTTGATTATACTACTTTTTGTTTTGGCTGGTGGATTGATGCACTAGTGTGGACGGTAAGAAATAATAATAGTATTTTTTTTCCTACATAAACTAGTTTGAGCAAGAACTTAATCATGGGATATTAGTCTTTTTGTTTTATTATTCCATGATAAGAGTGTTTTTTCAATTAATTTATACAACAGTATTCCATGAGGTCATTTTAAGAACTGATTTTTATATGAGTTTTGTATATTCAAAGAAATTTAATAAAAAAATAAATATTAACCATAAATTGTAAGTCTTTAAAGTCAAATAAGGAGACATAATTTGTCTATCTCTTAAGATTAATTTTCTCATGAAATTAGTACTAGACTAGCTATTAATGTGTTTTCCTCTTTTTATCGATGAATAAATTTCTCTAGTTATATGACTTAGATACTTGAGACTTTTTTTTTATGAAAATGATGATACACATTAATAATTAAAAAAACAAAAAGATTTTTTTTAGAACACATTTGAGTTCTTAGGTTTATGGGACCTAGCTATTATTAAGTTTCATATTAGAATTATAATACACGATTTTCTTGAAATTTTTTTCTTGTTATTTATCATTTTTTCCCACAAAAAATGATTCAATTGATAGGTATTCAAAAAATTGATAAGTGGTTTAGAAGAAGAAAAGAGAAGCATGGCTTATTACTCTTCGTCTTCTTCTTCTTCAGTTCACTGACAGGTCGGCCCCGGCTTAAGTAATGGTCACATGAAATTATGGAGGGACCAAATGTGTGATTATTGCTTATTTACTGAGGCAGGAAGATTCCTTGCAAGCCATCGATATTTCCTTTGTTTCATTGATGGACTTCAACTTGAGAAAAAATCAAATTTGGCAACAGTACTTTGTCACAGTCCGGATTTTGAGACCAGCAAGCAACGTAGAAGCTATTTATTAAAAACATCACTCTGACGCTAAACTTAGGACATGCATATCATAAAATAAATATATAAAAAAATTATTTATAATCTTTTAAATATTGCTAAAAACCAATAAAACTGGAAAACGCAAGCCCTAAACCCATGTGTTACAGCCAAAAATTAGATTAATCATAACACCAGGCCTGAACCCATGTGCTACAGCCAACTCGGGGCCAATGTCCTGATTAGTGGCAGCATAGAAATATACTGATCATAACTCCAAGCCTCTCCATCATCTCAAATTGAAGGGGAAAAAAGTGCATGATAACATGGGATTTTATCTAGCCATTTGTGATCAATAACTATGGCTATCAATCAACATACAGAAGAGAAGAGAGAAAGCAACTAGTTTTGGCTACAATGGCATATTGACATCAGACGTTCTAATTCCTTCACTGGTATTTTAAGTGTCGGATTCAGAAGCCTGCTGACATGCTAATATGCTACTAGTATACCTCTAGATTTACATGTAACAGAAAAATATCGCCTCAAACTCGTTCCCTATCGCCCTCCAATAACAGTAATTGTTATGTCATTAGAACATATCGTTTGTCTCCATTGAAGGGAGCCCATATCGAAACCTAGTGCAGGTTTCTTGGGAGCAGGAAGATCCACAATTTCGCTATGAAGCATTGAAATGATTGTAGGCACAGCTGGCCTATCTCTTGCAAACTCTTGAACGCACAAAAGACCTACATGAATGCTTCTATAAATTTCATCTTGAAAACATGGATCAGATAGTACTCGATCTGCTAGAGCTGAAAGTTTGCCTTCAGTCCACAATTTCCATGCCTGAAAAGTAAAAGAAGAAAAGGGCAAGTAAGAATTTTGCCTGTTTAACCTTACGGTTGGGAAAATTGGAGCTTTGCGCTACAGAGGTACTGAGTTGGATGGACATACAAATCCCAAGAAACTCAAATCCTTCTCATTGTCGTAAAAACTACTGTTTCTTCTACCACTTATTATCTCTAACAGCAAAACTCCAAAGCTATAGACATCGGATTTCTCTGAAAAACGCCCTTCCATTGCATACTCAGGGGCCATATAGCCACTGCATGTTTTCACAAAGCATGGAAAACATTTCTGAGCTCAAAAAGCAATACATTGCAATGATTATAACTGGAAAACGCAATGTGTACTTACTAGGTTCCAACAACCCTTGTCGTTTTGGCTTGATCTTCACTGCCTCCAAAACTCCTGGCCATTCCGAAGTCTGATATTTTAGCATTAAGTTCTTGATCCAGCAGAATATTACTTGCCTTCAGATCCCTATGAATAATTCTTAGTCTAGAATCTCTGTGAAGATACAGGAGACCTCGACAAACTCCTTCGATAATATTGAAGCGCTTCTTCCAGTCTAGAAGTTCGTGCTTGGCTGAATCTGAATAAATTGCATGCAAATGTAAAATAAAAACATGAATATATGAATCAAACTGACTTGACAAATCAAAGAATCAGCTTCTAAGTGTATTAAACTGAATGTTGCTTGATGCTACAGCTACAGATGTATAGAAAGGGCAACGGTTCTAACCAAACAGAAATGCATCCAAGCTTTTATTTGGCATGTACTCGTAGACCAACATCTTTTCTTCACCTTCAACGCAGTAAGCTAGGAGTTTCACAAGATTTCGGTGTTGGAGTTTGGATATCACAGAAACCTCATTCATAAATTCTTCAAGCCCTTGCTGAGATGCTCTAGAAAGTCTCTTCACAGCTATTTCCTGCCCATCTGGTAATTTCCCCTGGAAAGTCCATTAAACAAGTAAACTACCTATTCGGTTTAACTAACAATAGAACTCCAATAGAGTAGAAAATTTACCCTGTATACTGGACCAAAACCTCCCTCTCCAAGCTTGTTGGATATTTCAAAGCTATTCGTTGCATTTTCCAACTCCTGTAAACTGAATACAGCTGGTAGTTCCTGGAGTTTAACTTTGCCCCCACTGTTCCTGATCATATTTCCATCCGAAGGTGGTCGACATGGCTCCTCGCTTTTGGATAACGATATCTCCTTGCTCTTCCTCTTCCTTTCTGATTAAGATACAGAGTGTAAGCATGATTGAAATTGCAAAACTCCATAAGCTAATACTGAAAAGTTTTTACCTCCATGTTTAACCATCCACCTCCATGAAAGAAATGCACAGGTTGAAAAGGCAATTGTTCCGAAAATCACTGTTATACTGATAACTATCTTCACGCTTTTCTTTTTATCTGCAAATAAAATTGCTACTTTTATTTGACAAAACAAACGACTCGAGGGGATCTGCTGCAACTTCTAACATGAATACTGGCACACAAAACATTAGCAGTAGCACGAAAGAAGAAAATATGAAGCATTATTTTTAATGAAAATCAAAGAGAAAATGAAACAATTACCAAGTTCTGAATATGCTAAGCGAAGGTAAAGATCTGCCCCACCAACGGAAAACTTCTGTATATCAATTAAGCTTCTGGTCCACAACATGCAGCCAATACCCTTGTAATATGAAAAAGCTATACAGGAACGATTACTTAAGCATTCGTTTCTGCATTCTAGTTCTGAATACAGAGATGACCACTCTGCAAAGTCTGGTACTTTGATCATCTCAAGCTTCAAGAACCCATCTGCTGGGTTCACTTCTCTTATATTTTGTGTTTCTGTGCATTCTAGTGGTGTCCTCCTAACGCAACCACTTGTCCAGTTTCCTTTATTCCATTCATCTGGATTTTTTGGAGCAAACCCTCTCAAACAGCTGCAGATTGGTGAATTCATTGCATTACAGCTTCCAAATGCTCCACACTTCCCATAAATGTCACACTCTGTTTCTGGCCTATTCCAGATATAGAGCCAATCCTGGTTCTCCACTTTCCAGGATCTTTCTATCAATGAACCATCAGAACGCAAAACAAAATTGCTAGTAGGCTGATTTACATAAGTGAAGCTTAGAGACACGGCTCCATCTGCAGTTTTTGCAAGGTTAAATCCATCCAGATAAACAGATTTCATCTCAGGAATACCAATAAAGATCTGACCATTCCATGGACCACTCCGCCAATATGGACTCTTATAGTTCCACACAAATACTTCGGGAATTCTTAAGGGATCCATGGAAACAGAGAAGCGTCCGACGGATGGATCAGAAGGGCTTATCCATGATGTTAGTACTGTCGACTCGCCAGTTCTTGCATTAGCACTAAGTCTCATATTTGGCAAGAGTGTATTACAAGGCTGCTGAAAACTCTCCCATAAGACATTTCCATTGTTTTTACCGAGCAAGACAAGGTTTCCCTCATCTGTAAGCTGTGCTCTTGAGTCTTTAACTCCAACTAAAACATTTGATGACCAAAGAATCTCTTGCTGACCATTCAAAACTACAAGATTTCCATCCTGGAATATTTTCAGGACCCCAGATGAATCATTGAGTGGCTTGTTTCTATTAGCTACCCATACTAAATTCACTGTAGGCATAGCATTGTACCATATTCCAACATAACGATTTGTGGAATTAACAGGACTGAAAAATCCAAGTTTGAAGATGTTGCTAGCAGATACTATAGCTTCAGGATCTTTGATAAACTGAGATGATGTAATGATATCTACAGCAACCCCAAAATCGAAACAGAAAAGGAGCAGGAAGAGAAGAAGAAGAACTGCTACAAATTTGCAGGAGACAAACCCCATATCTTGTCTATCACGTGCCCTTGACGAGAGTGAAATAGTTTAGATCAATACCGAATGACTTATCAAATGAACGCCCACCACGGAATTAATTGAACTTTTCTTCGTGTCCTATTTTTCTCAAGATGGAAAATATTCAGTCCAAGAGTATTTTTAAATTTGTTTTAACATAATTCTTATTTCTCACTATCAAACTCAGAATATACTATGAATGTAAGCTTGACTTTTCTTCTTTTATTTTTGTGGAATATGATAGTTTCATTGAATCAGATCAAAATATATAGTTATTTTCAAAATTCACCAGCTATAATTTTTCTTATGTAGCTTTCAAAAATTAGACCGTTGTTGCATTATGTATCAAGAAACGTATCGAATCACCATAAATCAATCTTAGAATCTGCATCACTAAACTTCACAGATCAAAGATCTCATATTTATATAAACTAATTTTTTAAAAATTAATATGTATGATTATTAAATTTTTATTCAATTTTTTTTATTAAATTAGGGGTGAAAATAAAAATACTGATAAACAAAACAATAAAAATAATCGGAACCAGATTTAGAAGAAAGAGAGATTCAATTTATTTATTTATGAATTTGCATTTATTAATAGTACTACTAATAAATTAAAGAAAATGTGAAATGTGCATTACAATAGCCTGCTATATACTATTAAACTTTCTGTTTTTAATGGTGGTCATCATTTTGTTTTCTTTTAATTTTCATCCTTTCATGTTATATGTGTTGGGATTTGTTTCTCTTTGCATACTCTCGCATATACAAAATGTCTGAGAAATTAAATTCTTATGTTTAATTAAAGATTAGTTTATAATAAAATCAAATTTAAAATTATAAATAAAAAAATAAATTGAAATAACAATTACAGAATAAGGAAATAAAATACTTTTTTTAACGTGGCGAACTTCCCAGTTGGTTCCTATAATTTTAAACTTTTACATTTCAGTCTTAAATTTTATTTATTTTATATTTTAGTCCATGATATATTAAAAAGGAGAAACAAAATTGCTTAAAAATAAGAAGAATAAAGAAAGGTTATTGCCACATCCTGTCCAAGGAAAAAGACAATCCTGGAGTTAATGGGTTTGCATTGCAAAGGAAAGTTTTATGGAGGAGTATTGGAACTTTAATCCTGCTATATATATATATATATATAGGCGCTCAGCTAGGTTTTTTCTTTCGGTTTAATTTTGGATTTTGAGATTGATTAAAAGATTTTATTGGGTTAAAAATGAGTTTATTTATATTTTTAAAATGTTTTTTAAATGTTTTTTGGGTGAAAAAAGTTAGAAATTATATTTTTGAGATCTCAAAACTTAGACAATAATGTTTTAGTCATCAAAGTTGTCCAAAGAATGCACAAATAGAACAAGTCATTTACCTAGGATGATGTGTTGTTTTTATTTTAAAAAAAAAAAAGAATTTTAGTATTTTATTAAAAAAAAAAAGTCAAGCACACCTAGGTATTTTAATTTGGGCCAGACATGGGATCCATCCTTCCAAACTCATGCCCTTGGCCTCAATTTAAATGGCACTTCAGTTTTTTCCTTAAATATTTTTAAAATAAAATGCATTATAAATAAAATTATTAAATTAATATTTACAAATAATCCAATTGTTCTATTATTCAAATATGGTTATAATGTTTTATGGTTATATTAACGATCACTTCCTGCAATATTATATCAAAACTGAATATGCAACTATTTTATAAAAAGTACATTTTAATATTTAATATATATATATATATACATTATTTTTTATTATAAATTTTTTTATAATTTTATGAAGTTCATTATTCTTTTATTTATTTCTACAATCATGATCAAATTATCAAGTCATGATTATTTTTTTAATTGAAATTTGTTTTTCATATCATGATATATTTTTATTTAAAAAACAAATTTCATCAAAACAAAAAATAAATAAATGAATAAAGTAAGAGAGTTTTGATCGAAGAGATACAATTTTTTTTCCTCTTTAATTCAAATCATTAAAATTTTTAAGAATATTTATTTTAGTTTTCTTTAATTTTTATTCAAAAAACATGTTACTAATAAAACAAAATATACATGTTTAATTAAAAAAATGAATAGAAAAAAAATTTCTAATAAAATATATTTTTCAAAAATTTAAATTTTTTTATTTCTTACAAATATCTATTATCATTGTTATAAAACAAATTTTTTTTTTTTTTTGAAAACTGTCAAATAGTTTATACTAGGATGACTTGGCACCTGTAAAGAGTACAGTTGCGAGAATAAGTATCAAAGTAACACCAATCACTCATTTCAACTTATCATGTCTCACAAGATTATTACACATTGAAGAGTTAATTTGAAATCGACAAGCTAACTGAGTGAACTCTTGTAAGTAAGCTTCTGTCTTCGCTGGTGCGTTTCATCGAACAGTTGGAGGGTTTCTATATAGCTTCATGATCTTTGATAAACTGAGATGATGTAATGATATCTACAGAAACCCCAAATTTCAAACTGACAAGAAGCAGCAAGAGAAGATCTATTGCAATTTTACAGCTGCCAAATTCCATTTCTTATCAATTTGCTTGTTCCTTGATGAGACTGGAAGACTTGTCCATGATTGTCTACCATGGAGACATAAACCGTGCTCCTCATATTCGTTGAATTTCCCTAACTTGAAAAGTATTGCTACTAGGAGCTCTTCTTCATATTTAACTTTTGTCGGTTCTCAATGGCAGAAACTAGTATGGTTTCAAGACTTTGGCCCTATTGTTTAATTAGAATGACTCTTGATTAATTTATAAAACTTGTAACATCAACGGACATGGTCAGGAAATTGTCTATGATCAGTAAAGTCAATAAACAAATAAACAAATAAAATGAAAATGATGTATCTTCTTACCTCTAGTTTAGAGATATGATGATCAGTAAAGTCTTCTTCCTGTTAACTTCTAGCCCATCTGCCAATTTTCCCTTGAGTCAAGAGAAACAACAGCCAGATAACCACTTATTCCATTATCCTCAACATTGTACAAGACGACACGGTCAGGAAGACAAAAGGTTTCCAGGTTGTAAAAACTTCCTGTAATCCTGTTGGCAGGAAATTATTCCCTATGTTGGACATTAGTCATCCAGGAGCTGATGGAAATTGTAACTTTCTGATAATCTGTCATTCGATAAACACTTTCTAGTTTCTGTATTAAAGCTCCATTAAAACTAGAAAATGCAACACAAACAAACACACAGGAACTGTAAAGTTCCATTAAACATCGGGTGATTATTCTTCAGTGTTGTGAAAGGACATGCAGTTGATAAAGACATAAACAACGCCCTTTTTTTCCCGTTGAGTATAGAAATATTTTATCCCAGAATACAGGATCATCACAGTAGCAGAGAAGTAACTACATCATGACCTCAATCTAACGGCCTTTAAGTTCTGAAACTGTGACATTGTTAAATCAGATACTTCTGAGTTTCCACCAGACAAAATACAACCTCTACAGGAACAACTTTCAACCAAAGCATTGGCTCTTAGCAGTCATCTTTCTTTTCATGAAACTTGACCAATCATCAGAAAAGTCCGGCTCTTTTGTTCACAAAAAAATTCTAAAAGCAGTAACAGATATAGATACTTCTTTTCCAGTGGTAGGTGATAAACCTATCTTCTGTTCCAATTTCATCGCCATTTTTTCTCTCTTTTTTCCCCTAATAGGTAGTGTTTGGCATGTGCATATATGATTAAAAAAAATAAAAATTCTTTAGTTCCTTCCCATATCCAAATTTCTACCTAGCTTCCCCCATAAGTTTGTTCCTGAGTCCTGACCTATCCAATCCCATGTAATCCTTTCTTCTTAGCAAAAGTACCTGTTTGCTAGCTTATTTGATTCAATCATTTGAAGCAACTTGAAAAGAAAACGCATTTCTATTTTATAACTCAAGACTGTAGTCTCTCCTAATGACCCTATGTTGTTGTTGTTCAGAAAGATTCTCAAGAGGTTAAGAATTGGAGAATCTCTATGCATATGGAACCGAACATTCAGTTTTTCAGATCCGACAACCCCACTTCAGAATTTTGCGATCTATCTAGCTTTGCAGGAAAGTCAACGCAACAAGGACAATGGTTGTTCTTTATTTATTTTGTTTGTTGATTAGTCGTTCTGAATTTCCAGTTTAGTGACATGACATGTATTATTTCTTGTACCGTTTTGTCAAATTGCATGTGTATGGCAAGGCAGTAAATGATATATCATTTGCCCTGAACAAAGAGAATGGTATGAATAAGCACTAGAATATGTAATTTTAATGCTTTACCGTTTTCTTAATCGTCAAGAAACTGTCTTTGCCTATTGGATCACCAGCGTCATTGACTTCCCGTTATCAGTGTAATGTAAATATATACACGTAGTAAAAATAATAAATTTAAATATTATTTAAAATTTTAAAACTGTTATTAAATAAATTTAGAATTATTTAAAGTTATACGAAGATAATTACTTATATATTATACATATTTTTTACTTTAAATATTTACTTTAAAATTAAATTTTTGTCAACCATAAGATGTTTAGATATTCGACCTTTAAAGATAAACTATATAAATAACTAATGAGAAATCTCATGAACTCTTTTAAAAAAGAGAGATTGTTATACTTTAGAGTGCTAGTTTTTTTTGTGTTTTATACTATATTTTTCTTATTTTTTTTCAAAAATAAAAGACATAACACACTATTTATAGAAAAACCAAAAAACTCTTATAAATAGAAAAATATCAATTTCCTGCTGAATAATATCACATATATTATTTTAGAATAATTTTATAAATTTATTCAATCAAGTTTTTACTTGATTTTTTGAGGTCTCTAATTGCAATCTCTTTTATTAATTAAATTATAGTTCTCAATTTCTAAAATTTATTCACAATCAAGTTATACATGATTAATCATTCATTTTAATTTTTGACTGATAATTCTTATGTGTGTGACCCATTAGGTTCTCTAATAAGTTGATTCAAATCTTAAATAAAATAAGATTAAATAAATTAAATGGTTTAATTTATTATTAATTTAACAATTAATTGATTTATATTTGAAAATCAAGTACAATATTTAGTAATATATTATAATT